GGGGGGGGGGGGGGGAGTGAGGACAGGAGAGCTAAAACACATTTGACAAGCAGCTACACTGTAGAAACACAATGTGCAGTTCCAGGAAGTAACAGGTCAATGAGAGGTCATTAGAATATTCCGAGGGGTGGGGCTCTCCATCCATTCTTTTTAAAGAAAGTATGAAGCTGCCCTGAAATTCATGGAGAGGCACAGAAAAAAAGGGGGGGGCATTTTCTAAAACAACACAATTGGGTAAACTACATTCAATTTAACAACGGTGCATGATTTCTTTACTTTCTGCAGCAAGTATGGAATGAAACCATCAGACGTGCTGACGCAAGTGTTTTCAATGGTCGATGGCATTCACAAAAGAGATTTTCCCTTTGTTAAATTCCATTGTGGACCTGCATGTATCTCACCTGAGTGCCCTGGCTACCAAGACTACTACAAGCCACATCGTGTGGCTCAAGGTAACAGACGTCACATATATGATGTTATGCCTGGACGCCTAAGAGATAAGATGGCGTCTTTGGACTGCGTAAACCACAGCTTTGAAGATGAGTTAAAGGAGTGGGTGCCACCCAGCTCAATATCCTGACTTTTTAAAGCTGAAAAAATGTCACATTAGGTTAGTGAGTCAACATCTATCTTGTTCTTAACAATGTTAACATATATATGCACCCATCTTCCATACAGCATGATTCAGTTGTTAACTAAAGACAAATGACAAGAATATGTGGGATCATTTTCTGCAAGATATTGTTGACTTGACAAACTGTCAATTATTCTCAGCATTCCGAAAAGGGATTAATATTTTAAGGTTGCCAGGCTCACACAGAAGGGTTAAATGTGTGCTTGCATTCCTATGATCATTCTAATAGCAATCAAAAGCCGGAAAAAATTAAGTGAAAAAATGAACAATTCTTCAGAATCTAAATTCATCTTTTTCACGGTTTTGACTGCAACGACATACAATGTGTACTGTTTTTCCAGTTTATGCCGTCCTACTTTTTCTCTCTGTTTAATTTGCAGAAGAATAATCATAAACAGTTATTAAATTTCAGCTGGAGTTGACTAGTACCACCGTTAAAAAAAATGTGTTTAGTTTTATTTTAATTTGTAATTTACAGGTTGACCCTGCAAGAACCACAACAACAAAAAGTGGATAAGCCTAAAACTTTTCAAAGGACATCAGATGCATTTAACAAATTTCTTTGCAGTATTTCTTGAAGCTCAATCACAAATACATTTTTAAGTATGTTTAAATGTTTATGTTTATAAATGTTTATAAATGCCTAATAAGCTTTTTGTTAGCTCTCAGATGTGTCATATTGGTATCAGTCTCTGAAATGATAAATATATATATGTTCACTTATCTTTATCAGTGTTACTTATCTTCACAAATATCCCTTTTTCTTGAGACAAAATGAATGCACTGTCAGTTTCAGACAAATTTTCCATGTAAGCATATCAGCGACTTTGCAAAAACATGCCCGTTAGGTTTTTTCAGGCAAAGCTTGAACTCAGGCCTAGCCAGCCACTCTAAACTAGGGGAAGCTCCGTCAAGGCAAGGCTGGGGACATGGCCCAGGCACCGGCCTATCTGCTGGTGGTTTGCTGGTGGCCAGCTGTCAAAAGCAGGGGGAAGGGGAGGGTGTCTTTTACTGACACCTTCACTTAGCTAGACTTTGAGATTTAAGCACTGAAATGACCTAGATACTGACTGTGTTGCTGGGCACTTTGCTTAAAACTCAAAACAACACAAAACCCTCAAACCTTGTTTGACAATAGACCAATTTCGATATATCAAAATTCAGCCTAAAACAATAGACTTCGGCATGAGGCTCTGGGGAATAACTACAGAGTTTGGGGGGTTTATTACCAGAGCCTCAAGCTGAGGTATATTGTTTTAGGCTGAATTTTAAACATATCAAAATTCGTCTATTCTGTGTTGACATGGCACCCTGCTGGATAGGCCCATGCCACATGGATGTGTGACAGGCATATCTCCTCCCAAGGGGGGTGATCAGAGCACTTGTGACCACTGGGACCCTTTGAGCTGTCTGTGGGAATGTTTCTGGGAATACAGTCAGATATCTAGTGTACCAAACAATATTTGCAGTAATTATAATAATCATATCACAACACAAGATGAAAAAAGAAGAAGCATAATTATTTAATTATCAACTAGCAATGATGTATGCTTCTATGCCAAGTAGTATGGACAGAATTTTTCTTTCAACTTTGAAGTAACAATCTTATGTCCACTTGTGCAACATGTTTCCATAACTTGCAGTCCACAACATTTGTTGTTGTATGACCAGTTAAAGAAATGAAAAATAAGTCACATTTCTAACTTAATCCATTCAGCATAATGTTTCTGCTGATGGATCTGATCTGACAGGCAAATTCAAGTCATTAATGCTTGGAAAATCTGACCATAGTAAGTTACAGTAAATGATTTTCAGCTTCATATCCTGTCTTGATCAGTTTTTTTACATGCATTGCTTGCATTGTAAATCATAACATCTCCTTGCAAGCCTTGATTGAAGTAATCATATATAAAAGTGCCCATTGAAAACAGCCGTGTGATCTATAAAGGATGCAGCAAGGTTCTTGGTACATTTTAGGTTTTGTAGATTTTTCCATGTCCACAAAATCTATTTTGTCCTGAAAAAATTGTTAGCAATATGTACTCATGGTGCAAAATAATAATAGAAATGACTTGAAAAAAATAGGAGTAGTACTGTTTCTTCTGTAAAGACCCATAGTATTTAATATGTAGACATGGAAGAGTAGAATTGTTACTCAAAACATTTCTCCACTGAATGCCAATTTGTTGCATTTGCAGCATGCTGCTCACAATGCAAAAATTTACTTTTGTACACCTTATATCACTCAGCATAGTCAGTGGTATGAATGTAGTGCATTGACTGGGTGAAAATCGCAACCAAGTTGTAGGCTTGATTTGTTGCAGGCTTGGCAATTGTACCTTTTGCATACAACAAAGTAGTGTACTACGATTATCAGTCGAGTAAGGCAGCAAAGTGCACAAAATTGTAGGCGACGCATGGCTGTAAATATGGTTACCACTGAAAATGAGGACAGTTTCCCATGACAACACCATACATAAAAGGCCAAAACTTTGTCACCAAAGCTCGTTCAGACCTCTTTCAACTACTAATCACGGTACGTACCCTCTAATTAAATTGACCCTAAAGATTCAGTGGATATGTAGGATTGCTAAATAATAATACAGTAATTTTTGTACTGATTGCCAGACTATGCTGATGATGTACATTAATGGGTGGTTGTCAGTATTGTTAGCATCCAATAATTACTATATTATGATTATTGATAGTATCTAAAGTGGGGGTATTGTTTAAGACCAAAATCAAATAAAGTTTCTTCAAACAGTTACATGGCATGAAAGTTTATATCATAGTCATCCATGCCTCATTCAGTAATAAGACTAGTCAAGGTTGAGCTAGAAGTATGGCACTCACACATCTTCATGCATCTAGAAAAATACTGATTAGCATATATTACCTACACTAGCTGAGTACAGTCAACTCTCATTATAGTAGACACTCTCGGAACTGTCATTTAGTGTCTGTAATAGGTAGTCTGCAACAGCAGGGAGTATTGAAAATGACCCAATTTTTCAGTTATGAAGTGTTATGTACTGGTATACTTTTATTAGATTTCCAGTCTCTTTTAAAACACATTTACTTTTGTTGATATTTCATTAATCGAATAATATAGGTCAAAAGCGTGTGCAAACTAGTAAAGACTGCGGAATAATAATTATTTCATTATGTCATTCAATACATCAAAGCTATCTGTTGTAACAAGAGAAGAATGATAAAAGTTTTAGTCTGGGACCTCCTGAAGTGTTTGCAATTCCATAATAGCGGGAGTCTGTAGTAATGAGAGCTGTTTTGCAATCCATACATTTCTTTGTAGCTTCAGCCAGGGATGTAGCTTCTGCCCATAATAGCAGTGTCTGTAATAGGTAAGAGGGTGTCCATATGGTGAGAGTTGACTGTAATCCTGGGGGTAGGTATTCCTAGAAAAATTGGGTGGGGGCGTGCGGTCCACTTCCCAAAACCCATACCCTATTTAAGACCAAAATCTGCAATTTTCCCTACCCTAATGACCTGACCAAAAATTTGATACCCTATTTAAAACCTGACCCTTAAATCAATACCCTGTATCAGACCTGCCTAATAATTAGTTTAAAAAGTAGCTTGACTAGAGTGTAAAAACCATACCCTTTTGGAGACCAAACTGGCCAAAATCGAAACCCTATTTTTAACCAAAACAGCTAAAAAACCACACCCTTCGGAGCCACTCATATGTACACATACATAGCTCATATAAAGGAGTACCCCACCCCTGAGACTGTAATAGCAGCTAAATAGTATGAAAAGGCTGTAATTGTTATCATCCAGTCTCAAACTAATGAAGCTCAAGACAAAAATAACAAAGTTTCATAACCGACATGTTAATGTTTTGTTTGAATTAAAATCCAGTAATGTTTTGTCTTGTCAGAATAACATTACACCAATTTATCTTTTTCACACAAATAAGTCCAGCACCCTAAATTACATAAACACTGAGAACCTCTTGAAGTGATTTGAAAGTGGAACCCATTTTGGTATTCAGTGTATACCGACAGACTGGAACCTCTTTAATATGAATACTGAAAGGCCAGGGAACTTAGAAGTGTCCGTGAGCAGAGGCGCGATGGTATTGTGTTGTGTCAAATATATATCTATATCCACCACATGGCAGGCTTTTTGGCTTTGAATCCCTCCTTCCACCTCTTAGGCCAATCCCTAAGTACAACGGGGGTGGGG